CGCAATTCTTATCGATCGTGGGCTGGAGTCTTGCAAAGTGACTCAAGTGTTGTAAACAAGTTGTTCGACCTGCAATTGTCCTTGTCTGGTGTTTGAAGCAGTTTGGCTGCGATTTGGCTGGATCTTTAGCCTTCGTCTTTTTGTTAAGATTTGTCGACATGTGTGTGCGTGCGTGCGTGCGTGTTTTCTTCAACTAGTCAACCAACAAGTGAAGCAGTTTGGACAGGGGGCAACAACCACCAAGGTGGAGCAACTATTTCGCAGAGTCCCTAGAAGTCTTGTGGATGCCAGTTCGTGAACTAGGGTCTTCCAGAACAGACCTTTTTGTGTTTTGGCCCTGTTGGGTTCCTTCATGTTCCCTTTCAACGAGCAAACAGCGTCACTTTTTGCGGGTGACTCAGAAGTCTTTGTCAATCCCCGTGCTTTGCCTTCGTGACAGGAAGCGCGTGGAGTGCGACTACCACATTCCGAGGGGTGAAAAGATGCTTGGAATCGATGAGGGGACCTTGGATAGCGCCAGCCCCCCCTCCCCCCATCCTGCCTGGTTGTTTAGTTCGGTGTCGACGATGATTCGGCAGCCCATCAATAAACCCTGGCTGTTTATCCGGAGGTGTCCCGCTTAAGAGGGAATCATGTTCACTGTGTTTTGCTTCCAAGCATCGGGTCCGAGGGAAGGGATGTGCGGCAAGATTCCGCTTTGCAAAGTTTCAATTGGATCTGGAGAGTAACCTTGACTGTCGGTTGTCTCCCCACGCTTGCCGTCGGATGGGCATGTGTTTCGGGCCTGTTTCTGAGATGGCATTTTTCAAGTGGCCCTTATGTCGAGGGCCATACCTTTGGACCGACCTAAGCCAACATATTATTGCCCCCCTCAAGGGGACCAACATGAATGCCAATCTTTAACAACGGATGCTTTGAATATGTGTTTGAACATTTTTGAGTCTTTAATCCCAACCCGGGTCACCGACTCGACCAGGGAAACATGCGCAGCCAGGAGTCGCCTGTTTGGTAGGTCTTGACAGCGAAGGAAATCGTGCGTCACATATGGGAGGTGGTCGGTGTTTCCCTGGGATAAATCAGGTAACCCTCAATTGGTGATCTTGCAGAGGTCAAATGGTAAACCACCCCCTAGCGACCAGGGATTCGGTTTGCGACCTTGAAGCTTTCCCCTTTGGGATCCATTTCTTGTTCAATTTCAATATGTCCCAGAATAGGAGATACCTGAAGCAACGTAGTAAGTAAAGTACCATCCAAAAGCCGATGCACGATTTGAAACGCCCATTTCACTGCTATGAGTGTCATCCAAGTTGACAGCGCAGGAATAGCACGCGCCCACACACACACACTCTCTCTCTCTCGCTCTGTCTCTGTCTTGCTCTCAACGATTTGTCTTGTGCGCCCTCAGGGCATATCCCAATTTTGCCCTTTTTGTGGATTGGGGCTATGTTTTTCAGGTTGGAACTGCGTGCAGGTCAGCCACTGAACACATTAACTGCCATCACCTACCGTGGAAATGTCATTGGACACTGTCACACAAATAGGATAGACAATAGGATTAATATGGGGTTAGAAAACCAAAGCCCTATATCAGTTGGGGACACATCAAACATTGTCCGTAGCTCACCTGTCGACACCTTACCTTGCAGGGGGACCCTCCGTAGCTGCTGGACTCCCTCCCATCGGACCCAAAACCCATGTTTGGAAGGGGGCTTTAGTGTCATTGAAGCAGTCAACCTCAGTCTGTTTCATTGGATTCCCTCCAAAATGGGATTATTGCTCCACCAGGGGTTTACAAATCCTGGGTCAACATTGCATAGGTGACAGGCATTACCCCATCACCCGGAGAGTTCAACCATAGAGCACAACCCCGGCACCCCTGTGCTGCCACCAGCTATGAAACGGGGACGACAAATCCGTTTGTTCAATTTTTTGGCCGTCCCTCGATTTGGGCATTGATTTAGGCTCGAATAGAAAACAGATAGGCAACTAATGGCAACTACTAGCAGCAAGTAGGATCTATTTGTGTCCTTACGGGGGGGCGCAAGGAGAAATGTTACTCTATGCAGTCCTTGATCCAAGGATGTACACCGAGTCCTATAACGTGGCTCTAACCACCGCCATCAAGCGCAAAGCTGCGAAGTGATGGCGCGAAGATTCGTGCGCTGTGCGCCCACGGCTTTGCAATTCCGTATGAGTCCCCCAATAAAATAGAAATTGCTGACTGAAAATATCTCTCAGGGCGCCAATGGGAAAGACCTTTTCTGGGCGCGGCGGCCTCCTGACCGGCCGGCCGCGCCTGAGCCAGCAATGGGCACGGTATGGCGCGGTCAGAAAACTCTCGCAGAGAATTCCCCATCAGCCTGGAGAATCAACTTGGACCAGTATTTGGGTGTGAAACATTCCGAATCCCAGGCGTGGGGTGGAGGATTACGCAAGCCTAACAGCCAGAAACATGGCGCCGCAAAGCCCACTCGGTCTGGCGGCAATGTGCACCAGAGACCCTTCTGTTGCTTTTACGAGTTATATACTCCCTTTTCCCCCTTCAAACAACAAGTTGTGGACACACTTTCTCGTATTTTCTATCTTCATGCATCGCTGGTACCATTCCCAAGGTGGAGACTGCCAGGTCCATCCGTCGAGGTTCGATATGGATGATCAGCCGAGGTTCATTCGGGGGTTTCTCAAAATAGGGGACCTCTTTTTGGATGCTTTCAAGGGGACACCGAAAGGAAACCACCCACCTGGAGGGGTCCCCAAATTTGAGAAACACCCATTCATCACCACCCAATGAAGAAGTCACCATGGAAGTGCTGGATGGGGGGTCCGTGGGCCACGTGCGACTTTGCCAAAGCCACGTCGCCAGTGCGGGCGGAAAAGTTTTAGACTTGACGCGACAAGTGGGTTCCACCTTGTTGCTGTCTGTTGACAACGGGATGTCGTGTTTTCCAGTGACGTATGGATGTTTCTCAAAATAGGGGGCCCGAATGATTAGTCATTTCCTTTGGGTTTCCCTGTATAGTGACAAGGGGATTTCTTGCTTTTTGAGAAGCTTCCACATCATATCTTCCACTTGCTTAATAAAGTTTCAAAGTTTCCCTTGTTGGCTTCAAGGGTAATCTGTCACTACTGGAATGTTTCAATAGTTTTCCAGAGGATTTAGGCAAATGGAGGAAGCTCCCAATGGATGTTTGAAGGTTTTGAAGAATCTAACATCGGTCGGCACCCCGAGAATCTCACTCAGTGGAACTTGTTCACTGCGCTCGTCGCACAAGCGATGCCAGTTTTTCAAGGAGCAACTTAGTCACTGATACTGGCCCCATTATGTCGACAGTTAGGGGCTATCAAAGTCAGAGGCTGGGCTCAGTTCTCCTCAACCTACTGGGGCTTGACTTTGACTATGATAGTTCGGATAATGAGGCTACACACAATATTGTCCAACCGACACTCGATTTTCCCATATCAGCCGCCAGACGCGAATCTCCCGAGTGGAACTGCACGTCGGTGCGACGAGCGCGTGCGGTTCTGCGATGCTCATTTTTCAACAAGGTTCCAGTGTCACAGACATTGGACCCGTTGAGAGTTTCTTGGGGTTGTCAGCCCAGACACCCAGTGGGTTGCTTCCTTTTCCCCTTTTGTTTGGAGGGGTTCCCTTCAACATCAACCATACATTATACGAGTGCCCTTTTTCCCCTGACCACTGGGGGTCTGGGAAGTCAGAAACTAGCATCACTTTTCACTGCTGGGAACTAACTTTGACAATTGAGCCAATTGTTAGTCAGGGTCCGATCTTCCCATGCCCTTTGTCGGGAAACAGGTGATTTTGCCAGTATTGTCAGTCGGCTTTGCACCTGCAGTGGCTGCAGACTGCTAGGGTTGGCCATCTCATGATTCAAACTACTTTCGAACAGGACAAATGTTCACACCACGTGGATTAGCTTTGAAGTTTATGCTTCATCTACATCTTAGATTTGGTGGATGTTGTTCATTTCTCCATCTACAGCTTTGATTGTGGTTCATTACTTTGAGGGCGGCAATACCCAATCGTAATGTGATGTCACCATCAGAATCGGTCTCAAGCGAGCAGCTCCTTCTTCCCGGGTGTGGAGAAATGCAGAAAGGGCCGGAAGAAGCCGCAGCAGCTCTGGTGCTCATGCCCTTGCGGGGGAACAGGGGTCCTTCTGTTGTCCATTTGCGGATTGTCAACGCATCGGCTGCCAAGCCGAGTTGTCCTTTGCAAAGATGTTTATAAGAGGACGTCTGAATGGATCACTGGAGGGTCCCATGAGACATGGCCCCAGCGGCATGCAGGGGTGGACAGGGGAGCCAAGGTGGGCACTGGGGATTTCAGCAGTTTCCTTCAATGCAAAGGCAACACGGAGGCCAGGAATGAAAAGGAGTGGCGTGGTTGCAGTTTTGTGTGGCACATCTTGGATTTCTTTTGCTTAATACATGTTGGTGCAAGAAATCCATGACGCAAAGACGGAAAGACGCAAACAAAAGGAGACAGGATTCTAGGAGCCGGGCCTACCTTTCACACGCCTCTATAGAGATATATCTCTATCCCTCGTTTTCTCAACCTCTCAGGAAGCCGGCAAAAGGGGGGTTAAAGGCTGTGCAAGCCAGAGACTATGGCAGAGTTGCAACCAGTGGCCCAAAAGCAGAAAGAAATGGGGGCTTTCCGCCCCCTTCTTACTGGACCAGGTTTGTAACGTGGTTTCTTGGATGCCTTCCAGGTCTTTTCTTTTTCCCAGTGGTTTTGGTGCCACCCCCTTTTTTCTGCGGATGGCTCAGCTTGCAGAATGAGTCCAAACACTTCCGGTTCATTCCCACCCGCATTTTATATATATATATATATATAATGTTTTTTTGTTTAGATGTTTTGACTTTTTTCCTTCTTTTTTAAATACATGATGTTCAATCATTTCCAACTGATGTTTCTTTATTGTTTTGGTCATTCCCTACCCCCCAGCCCCCCCAGCCCCCGGATCGATCCATCCGAGATCCGCGACCTCCAGCGGCGCCTCGCGGAGCGGGCCCGGGAGCTGGGCCCGGAG